CCCTGTGATCTCTTTAAATTCCATATGCAGTCTTTCAACCATAGTAATTTCAAAAACTCAAATTCTGTTTATGACTATAAGAAAGATAATAAAAAGTGACTGTCCTTTGTGAAGCCCGCACCTAAGATTTTGGGACTCACTTTCTTCTTGTGTGCCTCTCTGCTAATTCTTGAGCTTAAGATCTACGTTCCATCCTTCTTCACAAACCCCACCTCCACACTTAAAATTGCTCTTCCTGAGTTCATTTCAGGGGTTATCTGAACGGAGATGAGGTAAGGAACTCCTCAGGCTGCCCATCCCCACCACAGCAGACACTACCACCTTCAGTGCCTAGGGGCTGCTCTCCAGGGCTGGGAGTGTCCTCCCTTGCTGGTGGAGGGTATGGCTACTGTCCCTCTCATCTGTCTAGAAGACACTTTTCACTGTGGAAGCATCCCATTCATTTAACTGAGCCCTCTATGTTCCATTCTCTGTTTCTTATTTGAATAAATATGACAAACTAGGCAGCCACTGCTGCCATGGCTTCTGTAAACACACTGGCTTTAAATGCTGATGGTTACCTTGGGAGCCTATTGTAGACAAGAATGTCCCTTTTGATATATTTCTATTTCATATTTTTTTGAGCAGCTAATGAAAAATTTAAACTGAGGATAATCAGTATAGTCCCCTGAGTTGTTTTGACGTCCCTTCCTTTTGCTTACCTATGAGAGGTCCGTGACATCTATCACTCCCTATTAAACTTGCCGTCATACTTCCTGACTAGAGTGACAGTATTCATTGACTACTCAAAGTTCATGGGGAGTCATCTCAGGACATCAGAACTCTGTATCTCTCTAATTCTGTTAAAAGAAGCTGTTTCATGGTGCCTGGGATTTAATGAGCTTATTTGGCAGTGAGATTCACATTGGGTTTCACTTGTTAGCAAAACTCAGCACTTTGGTTCAAGATGCTAATGATGATAATTGGACCCAAAAATCTGCATGAGAAAAAGATGAGCTGGAAGTTGGGAGGGGGGCGGAGTACTGAGGCCAACTCTGTATAAGCATCACTGTATAGCCCCAAATGATCACTACATTCATTTATCACGCTAATTATTCCACCAAGTGGTGGGAAAGACCATTTAATGAATCTGTCAGCCTCCCAGGATAAACAGAAGAACAGCCACACTAGTGTGTGAGTAACTCTCTCTCTCTCTCTCTCTCTCTCTCTCTCTTTCTCTCTGTTAGGAAGAGTAATGTCTGTCAAACTCAGTGTCCTTGATTTCTAATGAATGAAAAGGTGGCTTAGATGTTAACCCCTGCTAACATTTTACATCCCTTTATTCTTATTTAAAAGGAAACTTTGGAAGAACTGAGAGGGACGATAGCAGAAGAATTTATTCTTCTTTTACTTTTGACATTCCCCCATGTTTGCTTTCTTGCCTGTCAGCAATAGAGGCACAAATGTTGATAAAGTCATGTAACCCAAGCAGTTTTCCAGTGCCTGAATATGACGCTTGACACCTTTAGAGATCTGTCTTCCTGGGATCATACCATTGTGGTAGATCATTCCTGGCAGACCATCCTGCCAGGAAATATGGTTAATTGAGGATTCTTAATTATGATTTACATAAAAAGGAGGGCCTTTGTTATTATGAAGTAGATGTATTACTCTTTTTTTTTTTTTTTGGTTACTTTGACAAAATACCTGAGTAAATCAAGCTCTAACTGAAATGTTGGTTCTGGCTCCTGTTTTCAAGCCTTTGATCCTGTCAGTTGTCTCCACTGCCTGAGGTAAGACATCCTGGTGAAAGACAGCAGTGGAGCAGGGCTGCTCTCTTCACAGCAACCAGGAGGCAGGAGACACAGAAAAGACTTGAAGAACAAGGTGCTCTCTTCAAAGGTGTGCCACATGGACTGTCTCATCCATTAGAGATCGCTTCTAACAGACTCTTCAACTATGCGTTAATCAGTGGACTAATCCACAGATGGCTCTAGAATCCACATGGTCCATTCACCACTTCAAACCACAGCAGTGTGGCTAAGGATAAAGTATTTTCCATGTAAACATGAGGGCCTGAATTCAGATCCCCCAAACCCACAAAAAAAAATCCCACATCATAGAATGCACTGACATGGAACACCAGAGACAAGCTTGTTTGGTAGATTAGTAGATTAGTCAGATTGGATATCTGTGTGTGTATATGTGTGTGTCTGTGTATACATATGTATATACACGTGAATACACACATATATGCATATGTATATGGTGTATATTAAGATCCTGCCTCAATATATAAAGTGCAGGGCAATTGAGGAAGATACCTGATATCTGTTTTCCATATGTGTGCACATACACACATATGTACCCACACACATGCAGCAACACATGTACAAAATATACACATTTTACACACATTTAAAAATATTCTACCAGCTGAAAACCAAACCTTTGACACATAGATCTTGAGGATATAGTTCCTGATCTTTATTCTGAACTGGTGAGTAATTTCACTGTGGTCTTGGGCAGGACACATGAGTTTGTCCTTGCATTGTGTGCTGAAGATGAGGCCAGGCCAGATAATATTTTCAGCTCTATTTACTTCTATATATTTTAGAAATTTACTTTCAGCCTCATTTTAAGGATGACTTAAAACTGAGGACTTTTCTTACCATGCCTAGTTTCACTAGAGCAAGATTTAATATATACTTGGAAGGTTTCCTCTTGCCCACCCAAGGGGCCCAGTCACAGAAATAATAGCATTCTAGGTTTACTGAGAGTAGAATTTAAGGGGAATATAGAAATCCTGTGTAGGGACATCACCTTGAAACACTGCATTTAGAATACCAGAATAATATGCCAGCCACAGAGCAAGTCTTTGCACTAAAATAATAAGCAATCAAACAGGTAAAAAAATAAGAAATCCACTGTCTTTCCTGTAAAGACATTGCTAAGCCAGCCCACTCACATTTCTTGAACTCACATTAATATCTGAAAAGGCCCCACATCACAAAAGACTTCCCTTGGCTGCAGGAGGGATGCTTGTTTTCTATTCTTGAGCTTCTTACAGCAGGTAGATGCTTGCAAGCCAGCCTCACCATCATTGGCTCTGGAAGAGGCTGTGTGCTTTTCATTTGGAATCCTCACTGTCTAGAACAGTGCTGTCTCAAAATATTTTTATTTTCTCTGAGTTCTCAGAGTACAAGGATTGATGTGCTGCTATAGTTTCCCCTGCAGAGTTTGCCCTGTCCTATTCTGAACTCCTCCTGAACCCTGCTGTGAATCACTACACGGATTCTCTAGCACAGCTTTGGTGCATAAATCAGTTTGTCTGCAAAGGACATCTAGACAAGGCCTGGACAGCTGGCATTCATAAATTGTTCATGGTGGCATCTGCCAGAAATGCATTTCACCTATCATGCTTGTGCTGAATTACTTTGCAACTAAAGTGCATATGTCACATGTCTGGCCCTCTCTGCATCCACTTGATGAAAATGCAAACCAAAGTCACTGGTACCAGAGGGCAAATGCCCATTCTTCTAGGAAGCTCTGATGCAGTCAAAGTGCCTCCTACAGGGGGCTGAGGTTCCTAGGTACTCCCTTTGATAAGCACATTTTCTAAACTGCAACCAAATCATGCCTCAAGAAAAGAGGGCAGAGTTGCTGCCTGTTCTCAGCTATCCACAGGGATGGTTTGTATAAATGGCTTCCCTTCTGGCCACAGTCTCTATGGACTAAGTTTGCATTGGATAGAATAACTCCAGTATGCTTTTCTTAGAGGAGGGCTGTAAATTTATGGCTCCCAAGTCAAAGAGAGAAAAGAGGGGCAGAGACAGCAATTCTTTTCACTGATTGCTGGGGACCTGTGACTATACAGCTATGACCTTTGCCCAGCCAAGGTCAAGGTTCAATGACAAGCAGGAAGCTTAGTCTCTGCAGCTCTGAGGTCAGCCTGCCCCTTGACTGTGCTCTCAGACATCTGGGCTGTTTTTCATGGGGGCGAATGGTGCTGCTGATCCCCTCTGCTACAGCTTCCTAACTCATTTCCCATCAGCAGGCTCTACCCTGCCCACTCTGCATCCCTTGTGAAGGATGTCACCTACCCCATCACCATTTTCTTTTAATCAGTCACTGGCTCCTGCTACCCCAGGGTCATTTCTAATTCTTCATCCTAGCTAATGGCTTCAGTTGTACATAGCCCGCTCTGGTCTCATTTGTTATGACTGCCACTTCCTAGAGAAGCACTTTCATTCTAATTGGGGATGGGCTCCTCTCTCATCCTTTAAGCCTTCCTCAGGGAAGTCCTTCTCTGATTCCTAGGCTTTACCTCAGCCTAAAGGATGCCGTCTCTCCCTGAACCTGCTGTGAGGGCTTAGACTCCAATAGTAAGATCAAAGCAGGTGGAGACAGCGGTTTGCAGCGCTTCATGCACCACATGCACAATGACACTGATGGGCACTTGGAATTGGCCATCCCTCACAGACAAAAGTAAAGTTCCGTGACAGTGGTGGCCAACTGGTCACATTTCCTGCTTCTTCTACATCTCCAGCATCCATCCTGGATATTGGGCATGTGGGCATTACTATTTAGTTGAATGAGCGATTGAATGCAAAAGTGACATTTCAGAGTTGAGAGGTGTGAGAATTAATCTTTACTGTCAGCTAGATTAGATTTAGAGTCATTATGGAAATACCTGGGAGTGTATCTACAGGGGTATTTCCAGAAAGGTTTCATTGATCAGAGAAGATCCACTGTTAATGTGTGTAGCATCATCCCATGGTCTGGGGCCCTGGACTGAATGCAATAAAGGGAAAGAGTGGGGAACCAGAATTCCTCACTCTTGGCTTTATGACTCCAGGAACACACGAAACCAAATGCATGGGCTTCCCACTATGATTTCCCTGCAAGGACAGACTGCACCTTCAGACTCTGACCTTCTCTGGGTGCTTTTGCCAAGTAGATTGTAAAAGCTATGACAAAAATAACCAAATGCAGGAGGAGATTCGTTTAGTTGAACCTACCATTACAGGTGCAGCGCACGTTTCTATAGAAACGCGGACACACGAAGCTGATGCGAGCTGTGCTGTAGGTCATGAGTGCATGGGAATCCAGTGACAAGCCCTGCTCACAGTGCTGCTCCTGACAATCTAGCCCCGAGCAGTTCTTTTCCAAGATGGCCGCTATATGCATGACGTTCTCCAGGTGTCTCCTGGCATTGGACAGCTTCTGGATCAGGTAGGCTGGCTTGTAGAACTCGCTGCTATGCATCTCCACAGCAAACAGCATGTCCAGCTGGTTGGTGCCCACCACAGGTTGGATGCTGATGATGCGCAGGCTGTCCTGCTTCTGGGTGAGAACTGCATTCCGCAGAATACGCCGGAACCCATGCATATGCAGCCCCACAAAGTCCTCGGGAGACACATTCTCAAAGCGAATTGTAACAGTGTTTTGCAGCATCTCATGTACCAGTTGCTCCACGTGCACAACGACATCGATGGGCACTTGGAAGCGGCCATCACTCACAGACACGTTCAGGACATACTTCCCGCTGTCCAGCCCTCCCAGAGCAATGATTTTTCCATCGTGACTGTTCACTTTGAACAAGCTCTTCTGTTCTGATTTCAGGGCAAACGTGAGCACATCATACATGTCCTGATCAGTGGCGTGGATCTTTCCAATGACCCCACCAGGAAAATCATCCTCCATGGTGACAATGAAAATTTCCAGAGGGATGGCTGTGGGTTTGTGGGTGCTTTCCTCAATGACCCGAACACGGATATAGGTGTGAGAAACTTGCTGTGGTTTTCCTGAGTCTTTTGCCTGGGGACAACCAGAAGAGGACAAACAAGGAGTTAAGAATAATAATTAAAATATCACCCTGTGGCAGAGGGTGTCTGCACCTTCTACTGGGTTCAAGTCCTCCTTCATCCCTTGTCACTATTCTGAAACATGTTGAGGAAGGGCAGTTAAGTAAGCCTATCACCTTCAGTCATTCTCTGGGAACTGTATTATGGGCAATAAAGTGTGTTAACACAATAAAGCCAGTGGGGGTGAGTCAGGGACTACCAGCACGAGTGCTACAAGACCCACTGTGTCCACACCAGGCTTGCCTTGTTTTCACTTTGGACAGAAAGTAGGGAAAATACCTTGTAAAGGATGTTCCCACTCAGAGAAAGAATCTTTGTTTTTTGTTGAATTCTGTCCTTTTTGCCAGGACCAGGTGACAACTTTCGACACATAGAAGAAATGCCATCAGTTAAATAAGAATTACATCATAGTAAGCTCTAGAGTACAAAAGATGATGCACCAGAAGGGAAATAGAAAGCTTGAAAAACCCCTTTCTTTCTTAATAGAGGAACTGATGAAATAGTCACTGTGAGAACAGGCCTTTAATGAACACCCCTCATGCATGGGGAAGGAGTCAGTAGTGTCATGTCCCAGAACAAAGTTAGGTCCTTGTGGTCCAGATCCACAGGGATCCAGTGACCCTGTAGACAGAGCATAGGACCTGTGTCTCATAGATGCAATGGGAGGCCGAGCCCTGGGGAGCATGCAGGCTTCCCTTTGCATCTCAGCTTTATACACAATCCATTTGTGGTTTTGAGTAAGTTACATGAGTTCTCTAAGCTTTGCACCCTTAACAAGAATAATAATACCAGCCCCTGGGGTTCCAGTGAGAATTAAAAGCGAGGGTTGTTAGAAAGCACTTAGCACAGGTATCACCCATAGAAATACTTAGCATGTAGTTGTGCATGTAGTTGCTGCTATTTGCATCATTAGCATCAATACCTGTTGTGTTTGGCTATATGAGACAAGAGGTCTTGAAACAGAGACTCCTGAAAGTGGAAAGGAGTTTGGCAAATTAGGTTGAACATGAAGTCAAACTGTGGATCCCTCCAAGGACATTGATGAGTTTGTGCTGCACAGGTCTGTCCAAGGTTGTCCACCCCAATGCTACAGGGCAGAAAAGTATCAGAAAACCATAAGTCACTGGACAGAAGGTGACAAGACAGTGACTCTATGCCAGTGATGGTGGGTGTTTCCTATGAGGAAAGCAGAAGGTTTACTGTGGGAGATGTGATGCCTCCTCTCTAGTGGATGGATAGGGTATGCGGAGAACTCTACTAGGGCTCTAAGAGGACACTGACAATTCTCCTTCTACCTGGAGTTTATGTCCTGTGATATGACATTATTTAAATATTTGGACAAAAGATCTCAACTGGAGAAGTCACGGAAGTGCCTAGAGCCAGTGTTTTCCAATTTGGCTGGGAATGGAAGAGAACAAACCTTTGTTTATCTCAAAAGATGACAATTAAGTCAACACTGTAAATACCCAGAATCACTGTGCCACCATAAGGCACCCTTCAAAATGGCCAGGCAGCTTTCTGTGGGTGACAGTGGGTTGAAGCATCATTCAGTTTTATGGCTAAAATCAAAATCTTGCTATAGGCAAAGTCACAGAAATTCCATGGTGACAGCTCCTTTTTGTGACCCTTGCACACCTGTCAATTTTGCCTCCTTGTGCTGGAATTTATTTATTTATTTATTTATTTATTTATTTATTTATTTATTTATTTTTGTCACACAGGCCATTGAACCTGAAGGATTGGGATACTGGAAAGCCAGTGTCATCTGAGTCCCTGGTTTACTGGAGAAGGCACATCAAGCAGAGGCCATGACATGGCCAAGTCTTTTTATGACAGTGATTGACATCCTCCCTCAGTGAGGAGTGGCAGACACTAGTTAGCATACCAGAAACATGGTAGGAGTCAGAATCCCAGGACTTACTGAGTACACACAGAGATCTCTCAACTGTTCATCCCCCAGGAACAACCTCCTGAAACACTCATGCTGAGTACCGATCATTCTTCCTTTCTGCTCAGTTTCACATGCATCTCACACACAGAAGCTGTCTTTATTGGTAAGAAACTGAATTTGGGGTTAGAAGAGGAATGTTCCTTCACTATCATGAGCCATGTTGACTTAGTGAACAAAGGAAAACCAACCAATAGGCAGAAGGACAGACATGGAAGAAAGCAGCACTCAGTGGGACCAGACAGCAAAGCTGTACCTGGATGCACAGTAGGTATTCTGGGGACTCCATGTGCCGGAAGACCACTGCTGACCGAAGGATCCCGTGGGAGTCCAGCATGAACTCCTCGTCTTCATTTCCCGACAAAATAGAGAAGGAAAAGGGAGGTCCATTGTGAAAGGAGTCTCTGTCTGTCACCACAAGCTGTAAGATGCTGGTACCCACTGGCTTATTTTCCTGTATAAAGGAGTGTTATAAAAAAGAAGTTAAAATTATACCTCTCATCACATTAAAAAAAAAATCATTACAGACTGAGAGCGCCAAGCTAGAACACCAGGCGTTTGGCAGAAGGAATCCCCCCTGGTATTTAATATGTCTACTAAAAACAGGCTGGCGTTGCAAACATCCTCTTTCCCATCTATAGCAGCCTCTTCACAGCTGTGTCAGGAGACTGTACCTCTGCAGATGATAACAGCGGCCTTTGGCTGAACAGGTTCCTATGTTCCAAAGATACAACCAGGTCTCACCTGTTTATCACTTTCACGAGCTACAGGGACCTATGAACAACATTCTTTCTGGCCTTTGTGATGAAGGTGGAAATCCACCTAGGAACAGAAAGCATCACCTTGCTGGGATGGGAAGATGGGTCCTCATAGTAGTTAAGATGTGGTTAAATGGAGACCTAACACTGTAATCCAATGCCACATCAGACATTTGGAAGGGGTGCATGTAAGCAACCTTCTAGTCAATATATAAAACAAAATGGCTTTTTATAATTCACCCCACAACACAGTTGTGCCTGTTCCTCTAGGGGAAAGAAAGTAGACTGCACTTTTATCAAAATGAGGAGGGACAAAATCTTCAACACTAAGCAGCAGTTTTGGAAACATGGCTCAAAATAGGAATATGAAAATAGGTTGTACCCACTTTTTGGGTCAAAGTTTATCTTCTTCACTTTGAAAGCATCACATGAAGTTGTTTTGTAGCTAGGATCAATATTGGTCTTCTCGATCCTCTGTGTTACAGTTTAGCCTAAGAATAGTTTGAGCTGATGTCAGATTTCTTATTTAGCTTGCTGATGAGCAGCGTCAGGATTTATTATAGTATGGAGATGAAACATGTTCCAGAGATGAGGATCATGATACGTGGTACTAGATGACCAGCACGGTTCATATGCTGAATTTGTTTATGATAACTAGGTATTGCTGAGCTATGGTGGCTCATATTATAATTCTAGCACTTCGGAGGCAGAGGCAGAGGCAGAGGCAGAGGCAGAGGCAGAGGCAGAGGCAGAGGCAGAGGCAGAGGCAGAGGCAGAGGCAGAGGCAGAGGCAGAGGGAGAGGCAGAGGCAGAGGCAGAGGCAGAGGCAGAGAGGCAGAGGCAGGGGCAGAATACAGAATGAGTTCTAGGTAAGTCAGGAGTACATAATGAGACCCTGTCTCAAAAATTAAATAATAAAAATTTAAAATTAAAAAAAGTAAAACAGAGAAAAAAAGATAACCAGGTATTAGGGTAAACCCATAATTCTGGGTGTGAAAGGAGAGGCAGTCTTGAAAAAGGACTAGGAGAAAATCCGAGAGGTTTCTATTCTGCCACATGCCTGCCTGCTTGGTTATCAAGCTCCAGGCACCACCTCCCTTTGGAGCCCACCGTGGGACCATGTCATCCAGTGAAGATTTACTACTTTACACAGACAACATACTCAGCACTGCACAAAACAGAAGATTTATTGATTTGTTTCCTCATTCTCTGAGGGCCATTTCCTCCACAGAAAAAAACTGAAAGAGTGAGTGAATATGTGTCCTTGGGGTCACTGTCTAAGAAGGAAGGGTGTGAAATTACAGACAAGCCCAGCCTGCAGAGGGAGGGTGTCTGACCATGTACTCTCGGTGCCGACAGTCTGCAAACAGTCGGTCCAGCTGATGGAAGCATGTCATAAAACTGAATGTTGAGACCACAACCACAGAGATCTGAGAGAAAGGGGAGGAGGTGCATAGGATGAAGGCAGGAGAGCAATCACACGCATGGCTGCTGGCAGCAGCAGAGGAGAGGTAACCTACATTTTCTTCATAAAGGAAGAAGATTGCGTTGACAAAGGGGCTAGGGATGAAGAGACAGTTGTTGTGCTTGGTGCATAAACATCTCAGCCTGATTCCCAGATAGTTCAATGCACACTCAACGTCTTCCATCTTATCCCAAAAGGCTCTCTAGAGACCTAAACCACCCTCATTTTGCTCCTTCACAAAGCCTCTGGAAGTACCTGTGAGCCACTGTACTTTTGCAGAATTTCTATGTATCTGTAAAGCATGGAGATCACTTGCTGTGACTCCAAGCCTTCCACACTCAGTCTGGTTCTTCTCATCTTCCTATATGGCCTTCCAGCTGCCAGCAGAGGAAACTCAGGTACCTTGTTCACAAACTAACTTCTGAATAATAAGCTAATGGAGAAATTAGTCACTTTCACTGAAAGTAGAATACTAGTTCTAGGTTACTCTATCCTACAGCCCAACTTTAAGAGCAGGTAGCTTTAAAGTCCTAAAAAATTTGTCTATGGAAGGTGAATTTTTAAGGAGCTTTATTCTGAAGTCTATGGGATAGTTCATATTGATCTCTTTCCTCTGTTAGAAAAATACAAGGTTTCTTAAAGATAACCTGTTACTATAGAAAGATTACTCATATTATGTGTCTGCATGATAGAGTCACATTCAAATCCCAACTACATGCCAGCTTCATGATCGTGAGAGGTCTAGTTAAGCTCACAGATCCATGGACCTTTCAACTGTTTGGTATGCGTGTGTGTGGGAGTGGGAGAATCTGTGTCAGTCGACCACCGTCCATGACACATAGCAACGGGAAAAGGCCGTGTACTTGGAGCATCTTAGAAGAAACAGTACTCAATAACTCTTTAACAACTGTGGTGGAAAGGTTGGTTTCATACCTTCCATAGGAATAGACAAGTTGGTATTAAATACTAATTACCCACAGGCTGATAACTAGGCCCCTATACAATGGTACTAAGAGATAGACTCTTGAGGTACCATAAATGTCCTCATAGAAAGGCCTGAAGGAGGATGTTTGTCTTTTCTGCCAAGCGGGAACCATTTTCTGCTGGCAGTCACCATTGTGAGCAGAAAGAACATCTGCCAGATACAAGATCTCCGAAAGCCTCGATCTTGATCTTCTTAGCCTCTGAAACTGTCGACTGTAAACTACAGCTGCTAGAGTCTCTTACTCTGAGTTAGTTTGTAGAGAACCCAACAAGCCAGAGCAGAGGGAGGAGGCTGAGCCACACAGGTAGTACTTGGCAGTCAAGATTTGCTTACCTGGATCACAGCAGTGTAGTTGGCAGGTGTAAACATTGGACTGTTGTCATTCACATCAGAAATATCAATGTTGACAGTTGTTGTTGAGGACATTGCAGGAATACCACTATCTACTGCCTGGATGAGCAGGGAGTATCCTGACACCTGCCAAGGCATAGAGGTGGCAATAAGGAACTTCAGTGCCTCCGCCTTTCTGCACATGCTCAGATAACTTGGAGTCTGGCTGTATCACCTTCACTCTTATTCTGGAGACCAGTGCATCATCAACACTCAGGGTTGGATCACTCTCTGTATTTCAGGGTCTTTAGAGTTGTCCCAATCTTTACCCACTAGGATACATTATCACATGCAAGCTAGTTCTGCCAACCAAAAAATGCAGCCCGGCCTTTCTAGTTCTTCCCTGAGTTGAGGAGCCTCTGCTTTCGAGGCTCTCCCTGAGCCTTTGGTCAATACAGTTGTTACCACTGACCTATACTGCTCATTTTGATATTCCTTGCTTAGGCAGGCTCTATTATCTAGAAGATCCAATCTTTTAAGTATTACAGCTATAATTTTCATTCCTATATTTAATTTTTTTGAAAACACATGTTTTGGTGAGGAATGACAGTATTTAGAAATTAACTCAATCTCAGACAAAGGAATTTTCTGGATCATTCTTTCTTTTTTTTTTTTTTTTAGGGTACCTTCAGGAGATCTTTCCTGACAAGTTCCCTTTGGGCTGAAGTTGCTAATGAAACCAGGGCACGCATTCTGCTGAAGGTATTTTCATTTCTTTGACTCATGAAGGACTAAAGTTCAAACTATGCAGAAAGGTACACATTTGTCTTTTTCCTTAAGATCTCCAGCATCTGCCATAAGCTATTATAAGTAGACAATTCTTTCAGGAGTCCAACCCAGATATCTACTTGCATTTCCTTACTACCCTCTGACCCTGTGCTCATTCAGAGAGGGTGTAGGTGTGAGTGGTGAGGGGTGTCCTAAATTTACTCACCCGTTCCCGGTCCAGTTTTTTCTTAACTTTCACAAGTCCCAAGATGGGATCGACAGCAAATTCATTGTCCCTGTCTCCACCCACGATGGAAAAACGAATCTGTCCATTAGGCTTGCTATCCATATCTTCTGCTATCAGCTTCACAGGAAAGAAACAAAACAAAGCAAAAGGTAGACTATAAGAGAAAGACAAAAGGTTGATGCTCAGGGTCTCTGCCTGATGGTGTTCAGGGACCCTTGCCCATGATAAGTCCCTAGTGGAGGAGCTGATCAGTAAAACTAAAACGGTTAACACTAGCATGGACACTTGAATCTCCTTGTTTGCACTTCTCAGAGCCTACATTCTACTAGGCCTGATACTCATCAGGGTTTGAGATAATGATGATAGCCCCAGGCTAACTGGCAGGATTGATTTCATGATCTCTTTACAGCTCTGCAAGTAATGGTCTCAGCCACTAGTAATGGTTCTGCTTCATTGTCAGTGTGACTGGATTGGGAGTTCCAGCTCTGAGGACTACTCTAGTGTTTTTAGAGAGAATTAACTGTAGAAAGACACACCTTGAATATCCATGCATCAACCCTTCGAGTTGGGGCCCTAGACTGAATGGAAAAGGAGGAATATTTTCTTGGTTCCATACAGAAACCTAGTGGAGTGCCTCTGCTTTAGGACTGTGAACATCATGTGGCCAGGCCCATATTCCTGTCGCCAGCCTTTCAACCACAATGGGCTGTATTTTCTTTTTAATCATGGGCTTTATTCATGCCCACCCTTTCAGTGTTTCTGTGCAAACCCTCATCCCCCAAGGGGAATATACCCATGAATTTCTTCTTTAGTCACAGGTCAGTTGTTCTGTAGTCATGAATTAGCTGCCTCAGACCAGGAGGTCTTTAAAAGTTCATCCTTGTCTTTTCTTTAGAAGTGTATACTATTGTAAGGAAAGCAGTTGTTAGTAAATTATATCTTTATATAAATTAATCTGTAAAATTCTTTGTAATACATAAGACAGAGAAGGAGCTATTGAAAGCCCCTATGTGAGGGACTTTGAGAGAGGGTGTACAAAATCATTGAAAGGGGGAGTGGGAACAGACTCCAAGACAGACCTTGTTCATTTCCTCACTGTGAGAATGCTTCGTCCCAGAATTTGGATGCTGCTGGCACCTACCAGAATTACCGAGTCCCCCTCTAAGGCGTCCTCACTGATGACAGCACTGTAGACGTCTTGGCTGAACCGAGGAGGGTTATCATTCACATCTGTGAGGTCGATGCTGACAGTGGCTGCAGTGCTGAGGGCTGGGATGCCTCCATCTTTAGCTTCCACCACCAGGTAAAATCTTTTGCACATTTCATAGTCCAGAGCTTCCAAGACAGAAATACCCCCTTTGAAGGAAAACAGGTAACTTCATGTTTTGTTAGAGGAAAAACACGGGTCAGTTGTTCTTTAGGCATAGTGCTGTTTACATCAGCTATAGCCAAGTTTACATGTTTGAGAGTTTGTTTGTTGAGTCCCTGAGAACAGCCTAGAAGTCTGACTAACACTGTCAGTTAAAGGAGAGCTGTCCACCAGACACACTTCTGAAGCCATAGACAGTGTTTGGAGGTCTGCATATAATTTAAAACATCTTTTAGGAAACATGGAAGTCTCTGCCTGTGAAGCTAGAGAGCTGGGCAGGGACAAGCACCCCAGGGAGTGTCTCTTGAGTCTCTGAGTGAACCCACCAGAAGGAGAACAAATGATGTGTGGATGTGACCGGAGGGCACTGTCCCTGTCATCGAGTAATCACCCACTTCCAACATGTGATTGAATTAAGCACAAGCTTCTTTGCCAACTCATAATGGAACCGTCTAAAACTATAGTCCATAGCGGCCAAGACACGGGGAATCTCAAGGCAGTCTGACGTGAAGTAAAAGGAGCTGACTGGAAGTCAAACAACCCCATGGTGTCCACACCCACATAGCCTAGATGATCCTACCATAATGTCATTTAAACTAAGAAAGCAGAACAAAAGAAGAATGCTAATTGAAGTCAACACATGAATAACATAGGCTCTGAGAATGGCTCACCCCTCCCGTCCCAGCATTGTATGGTAGTGATGCTGTGCAATGTTCTCAAGCTGGTAGCTACTCATTACATCCACAGAAAAGTTTCTAAATTTTATCTTTCTCTCCCACTTGGAAAACAATTATTAAGAGAAGTGAGAGGGTCATTCTCTTGGGGATATCCAATCAGATTAGTTCACTAGTGCTAAGACTACCAATAGGCTCCTTCAAATTATGGTGGAAACAGAAATGAAGCCCATTTGGATCCATAATTGATTTTTCTCAGCACTGACTACTCTTGGAGCGCTACCTTGGCAGTTTAGTTTCATAGTGCCAAATTTAAACTATCCTTAGCTATCTCCCCATGGTGGTCATATAGAATGGTCATAGCTGGACAGCACAAAGCTAGTGCATGTCTCAATGAGTGGACTCCACATACAGTTTAATTTGAAGTCATGGCCCTTTTAATACAGCCCCTCAGTCAATACTTCTGCCTTCTTTTACTCAAGTGTACATATATCTCCTATACCTTTACATTTGTACACAGTAGTTATGTTAAAACAGGGTTAGAGCGTGCATTGCTGAGTCAGAAAGACCATTCGTAGGAACAAGGTACTGAAGTCTACATAAAAGCCCCACTGAGGAGGAAGGGAAACACATAGATCACACCAAGAAGTGTGACTGGGTTGGAGAATAAACAGGAAATATTATTGGCATTTTTATTTACCCACCTGTCTTTGGGTTGATCCTAAATTTCCCTTGTTCGTTCCCAGACCTGATGAGATAAGTTATCTCAGCATTTGTGCCAATATCTTTGCTGGTGGCAAAAACAGACAAGACTTGAGTGCCAAGGGAAGTGTCCTCAGGCACTGTTACCAGATAGTCCCTCCTCTCAAACACAGGGGGGTTGTCATTAATGTCCAGGACAGTGATGGTGACAGAAGCGATAGAGGAGAGGGACTGTTCGGGACTCTGGTCTGTGGCTCGCACACTGATATTATAGGATGACTGCTGCTCTCGGTCTAGAGGCTGTTCCAGAACGATGACACCAGAGGAGCTGTCGATGGAGAAGACACCACTGGCTGAGTCCTCCAGGGAGTACACAACTTTCCTGTTGATACCTACAGGAAATGACACAGGAATGAGGATACAAGAACATAGGACTTTCTGGATGTATGAAAGCCACCCTCCCAAGAAAAAGTCACTATAGAAATAGCTTTGACCTTACAGAAATGCAGTCTTCAGTTTACAAAATATACAACAAAATTAAAACCGGGAAATTGATAACAAATGCCATAATTCTTTGGTTATTGTTAATATATAACCTCCTTCACGTTAATTTTCCCTGAGGAAAATTCAGATGCCACTAGATGTGTAGATAAGCAATATAGCCCCAAGAAAAGCAGAAAATAATTAACTAATCACTTCCCCCATGTATTCACTGAGAATCTACTAAGTACTTCAGGAGGTGATGGGGATTCTAGCCACAGATGAGAGTCTGAAACCACTTGACAGCTTTGAGAGGGGAATCATGGGTCAGGGCTTGGGCATAAACAGGATTCTTCCAGGTATTGCCTATTAACAAGTTGCAGGCCAGCAATAAAAGATAGGCACCATTCAGTGCTCCTGACCCCAGGAATGTAGATATACCATAAAGGCTGCTTGAGCAAGGGTCCAGTATTGGTAGTGATTAGAAAGCACGGGATTCCATCTCCTCTGAGTATCAAGTGGTAGCAGGGGAGGGATGTGAATTTTGTGTTGAACTTGGACGTGGTAGGGAAGAAATGCTTTCTGATGGTGGAGCTGGCAGCACATGGAATACCACAATAGACAGGCTACAAACATTATTCTTCTGTATAAACTGAGCAGCTGGAAGAGGGAATTCTTCATTGTTGAGAGAGAGACAGACATGGGAGAATTAGGCTTGGGGTGACAAACCAGAATTTTCATGTGAAATTGAAGGTGGGCACTTGATATTCAATAAAAATGTTAGGTAGAAGAGTCTGGAGTTTAGAAAACAAGCTCCAACTATGGTTCTAGTTCTGATTATCATCAGTTTTGATTCATACACAAAATGATGGGAATGTTTGAGGTCATAAGAATCACAGAGGGATAAAAGAACTCTGAGAGCCAGCAAGCCTTGGACTCCCTAGCTGAAGGCAATCTGACTCAATGATCTTAAGAAATATGTTTAGCTGTCAAAATGTCATATTGACATGGACTCAAGCAAAAACATAGCAACCAAGAAATGTATACCAACAGATTTCTGATTAATATCTGCCTGAGGTTGTCTTCATTAGGCAATTCCAGCCCTTCCAAATGGGTTATGAAGCTAAGATTTGCTTCAGTCTTTAAAATTCATAAGAAAGAAAATAGAATTAATTTATTCTATTCAGCTCCATTTTGATCACAAATGCTCTTTAAAACAGATTTTAATTTAATATTTTAGTTATTTATATGTGTATGCCTTTTTGTGAAGATGCACAATTTTTTATGGATACCTGTAGAGGCTGGCAGAGGGTGTCAGATCCCCAGGAGCTAGAGTTACCATGAGCTGCCCAATGTGGATTCTGGGAATCTAACTCTGGTCTTTGGCAAGCTCAAGAACAGCAGGCACTCTTAACTTCTGAGCCATCTCTCTCAGTCCTCATAAATACTGTCAATGAAGAGAGTCATCTGCCAGAGGCCTTTGGCTATGATGACCATCTGCAATGCTGTTTGTGAATCATGGGACCTGGAACACAAGCATTTCTAGGGGAAGGCTTTATTGTATATTTGACATCATGACACCTTACCAAGAAGGCAGGAATTTGGCAGATAAGGACTGAACATTTTACTTCCCCATGTACAGTTTCCTTGAAGAATAAATTACCAGCAAACCAATAAAATCAAGTATCTGAAAGGGATGACATGAATTGCATTGTGTGGCTTTGACTAAAAGGCCTGTGTAGAGGACTTGTTCTTGGTCCCATTCCCAAGAGTCCATTTTTTCCCACCCTATTTTTCATCATCTACTTTCATTTCTGTTGCAAAACAACTATCTTGTTATAAACATCAAACTCCAATATTTGAACTCAGACTAACAACAACAAGGCTTTCTCTCTTTCCGTCTTGGGAACTATGGCTTCAGGGATGTCTTCTGGCTGGAAGGGCTAGAAGAATAAATTATTTCATAGATATTCCTGATGGGAAGAGGCAGACATACAGAAGAGATCAAGTTTGTTCCTTAAAAACAATTGCCTTGCTGGTATCAGAACAGGTGCTCTTGATGTCCCCTAAGCTGATTCAGTGTTCTCAGGACACTGTTCAAAGTCATGGGGGTATGTTTACAGAAACACATCAGCGAATGACATGAATACACCACACAGGTTTTCAAATCACATACCCTAAAGGTTTGAATTCCACCCCTAGGATATGGCACTCAGCTCTTGCCAACAAGAGAAGGAAACAGAAGACAAAAAGTCTCTCATGTGAGTATGTGCTGGGAGCTACTAAATGAAATCCACTGGTACAGAAGCCCAGGGCTGACAGCCTGGCCTGAACCTATCAGTATCTATAGACATGATGGACAACAAGTAAGTCCTATTTTCCCTGGATTCCTTGCTCAGCATCCTGGAGGTGTTAAGGGGGATCTGCTCATTATATTTTGTCTCTTCAGACCCAAAGGTCAATTAGGGAGGAGGATGACAACGTCTGATTCATTGGTCAAGAACAAGTTAAATTAAGAGGGGCAAGAAGGGGTGACTCACAGCAAGGCTAACTGAAATGTGCCTTTAATAGGGGCCTGTGTTTCCTTTATTGGTACACGTAGTTGATGCATCATTAGAAACAGCATGTTCCAGATCTGAAGCTTTCTCCTCCAGCCTCCTGGCTAGACTCCACCTCTTTAACAGAAGATACTAGTCTCCTAACTCCATGCTGGCCCAGATGGAGGATAGCTACTTTTACAAGTCTCTTATCAGTAAGCCACACTAAGACCATAGATCAACTCAAGACTGATTCTGTTAATTTAGGCTTGGTGAGTTGGTGCCAAGGCCTTTTGCTTTACTTGAGCAGAGAGCAGAAAGCCACACCTCTGCTTCTCCAAAGTTGCTGTCCTACATTCCTCTTAACCCCGCCTCCCTAAACATTTTTTAAATCCATCCAAAATAGTTAGTTTTGCTTGTATTTCCAGTGGAATTCCAGCCCCTCTCATGAGGTTGCTGCCTGGATCTACTGCCTACTGCAGAAAATCCATTCCCTGCAAACTGGGCCAAAAAGAGCTGCTGGATCCTTGTGGATGGAAAGAAAACAGAAGACACTATTCAAAATTCAGTCATAGAGCATAAACAAAGTTTTATTGCTTCTGTGAGAAATGATACCAAGTATTCTGGGATCATCCTTAAAGACCCAACCCAATGTCAAACCACTCAGCTTTACATCTGAGGTTGTCAAAGACATTAACATCAGCACCAGGTTTGAAGAGATGGCTTAGTTGATAGGGTGCTTAGTTTCTAAGCATTGGAGCCTGAATTCAATCCTTAGAATGCATGTGAAGATAGAAAGACAGACAGATAGATAGATAGATAGATAGATAGATAGATAGATAGATAGATGAGATGGATGATGGATGGGTGGGTGGGTGGGTGGGTGGGTGAGTGGGGGATGGATGGATAGATAGATAGATAGATAGATAAACAAGAAGATATGTAGACAGACAGACAACAGACAGACAGAGAGACAGACAGGCATGTAGCAGAATCCTAGAGCTAGGTTGGTAGCAGATAAGATCCCTTGGGTTCTTTGGCCAGCCAGCCTAGCCTACTTGGTGAACTCCAGGCCAGTGAGAGATTCTGTCTCAAAAACCAAAAGGTGAATGATGGCCAAGGAATAATATTTCAGGTTGTTCTTTGACTTCTGCATGTGTACACACACACACACACACACACACACACACGCAAAAGCCATCACAAACACAAATGGCAAAAGTCACCAACACCACAAGCATAGTGACATTATTTTGACCTAGGCTTTAATATGTGTGTGCTCTGCATTTTCTAAGGGGCTCCATAAGTATAAGGAGCTTCAGGAATTGCTTCACCCATCTGGTGTCTGATGCTGATGTCTTCTCTGACAGCCTCTCTTTAGAGCCTTGCTGGTGACATCTACCTCTGTGCTCTTTGTCACCTGTATGAGCTGTCCTACAAGACCCCCTCATCCAATTAGTACCAAATGGTAGTAAGAGGTCTTTATAATGAAGTATGGAATGCATAACACAGAAAAGAATTATTTCAATAAGTTTTCTTATTTAGCCTTTCTAAAAACCATTTTTATTTATTCTTTGAAAAATCCACCATTTTATTTGATGTATTTGATAATATCTATCCCTAACACAGGACCCTCATCACTTTTCTCACCCAATTGTATGTCCTCTTTTATATTTAGTTCTTTACTGAATCTAATTAATCCTGCCCATGTGCATGTGGGTGTTGGGTCCTTTGCTGAGGGAACATTCCTAAACAAAATGACTTTCCACCCTGGTAGCCATTAACTGCCAATAGCTCATCAGACAGTTGTGGACGTCAGGTGCCTCTCCCAGGTCTATGCTGAGATATTTATTTAATTTAATTAATTAATTAATTAATTTATTTATTTATTTGATTTTTCAAGACAGGGTTTCTCTGCATAGCCATGGCTGTCCTGAGATTTGCTCTCTAGACCTGAAAATCTATGGCCTGGAACTCAGAGGTCTGCCTGCCTCTGCCTCCTGGGTGCTGGGATTACAGGGCACCACTGTGACTTGTGCTTCGATTTTTAACTGGCCTGACCTTGTGGAGGTCTTGTGCAGGTAGGTAACCACAGCTTCTATGAGCTCTAGAGTGTGCAGCGTCCACACCATGTTTAGAGGGCCACATTCCATAGCACTGTCTCCTATCCTCTGTCACCGACACTCTTCCCGCCCTCTCTTCCCACATTTTTGCTCATTTTTATTTCACCTCATTGAGGTGTCATAATTTACATGCAATAAAAACATGAACACAGAACTCATGAGTAAACTATGACAAATATCTACCACATGGAACCAATGCTTTTATCAAGAGCAGGAACATGTCAACCACTTTAAGTTTCTTCATGTTTAGCC